ATTAACATAAATGCTGTATTTTAATATAGCCAATTTTGATTAATTAGCTTTAACTGACAGCCTTTTTCTTCTTTTTCCGCGGTTATGCGGCATTATATTTCACACGCATATGCAAGGTGACTGAATATGAAAATAAATTACAAAACATACTGAGCCATTAAGTAAAAAAACAAAACAAAACAACAGTTATACTTTAAAGCAGAACATTGACGTTTTGAAACAAAAAAACGGAACTGAAACTAAATTATTAAAAATAAACCTGCCAGACTGAATTTATGTAATATTTTCATTATTCATTTATTTTCATTATTCGTTTATTATAATGTACTATAATTGAAACATAAAATGAGATCGTAAATATAATCAACAACGAAAATGTAAATAAAAACGTAAATTAAAAATATAAATGAACATGTCTAGTCTTAGTTCTATCAAAATAGCAAACACTACATCTCTCTATATTTAGACTAAAAGACTGCTTTATTTATTTATTTATTTATTTATTTAAGACTAATTATTTGTACTGAATGTTTGTGCTTTCATTTTAGTTGTCTTTCATTTCTTCAATTCTATTTTCCAAAACGAATCCTCTTTGCACTTAATAAGTTTACAATAAACCAGGTAAAAAAAAAATTAAATGTAAGTTGAGGTGATCGCAAGTTCACAACTGTGAGGTGATGTGCTCTACCGGCAGGATAATCTATATTATTTTGCTGTTTTTCATATGCGCACGTTTAAGATTTGAGATTATAACATTGCCATGATAGTCAAAGAAATCAAAACATTATTTTCACCCCAACGCAATTTAATCGGGCACTGAAGGCTAATAACTTAATTCTTATATTTGCTTTTTGACTTCTCACCATGTATCTTTTCTACAGCATAGTATAGTGTAAGAGCATGTCTATTACCAGAAAAACTAAATTAAAATTATATTTTAATTGAACACATCACATCACATACAGTAAGCTACGCCTACAGAACAGTCTGTTTAGCATTGTGAAAAGGCAAAGCTGAATATCTGTGGTTAATGTGCCACCCAGCGGTCAAATGCTGCTGGCGCATCAAGTACCGCCGTCGCCGCGGCATGAATGGCGGTACAAGGAACACATTGAAGTAGTAACATCTGTACACTGTATTTAAATGATGATGATGGTCCAGGATCAACAATAGTGAATTTACACTGTATTTAAACGATGATGGTTTAGGATCAACATTAGTGAATTTACACTGTATTTAAATGATGATGATGGTCCAGGATCAACAATAGTGTATTTTCTTTCTTTCTTTCTTTCTTTCTTTCTTTCTTTCTTTCTTTCTTTCTTTCTTTCTTTCTTTCTTTCTTTCTTTCTTTCTTTCTTTCTTTCTTTCTCTTTCTTTCTTTCTTTTATTTAAATGATGATGATGATGATGATGGTCCAGGATCAACAATAGTGAATTTACGCTGTATTTAAATGATGATGGTCCAGGATCAACATTGAATTTAAAATGGTTTAAAGAAAATTAAAAACAGCATTTATTCTAGCCAAAATAAAACAAATAATACTTTCTTTAGAAGAAAAAAAATATCATAGGAAATACAGTGAAAAAACAATTGCTCTGTTAATCATCATTTGGGAAATATATTTGAAAAATAAAATAAAATAAATCACAGGAGGGCTAATCATTTTGACTTCAACTTTGCGTTTTTTTTTTTTTTTTGTCTTCAAACAGCCTAAAAATCTGTTAAGATGCAGATGGTCTACAAATAAAACATTGGATCAGCTACTTAACAGTCAAAGTCATCCAGGATAATGAGTTTAAGCTCTGTGAGTGTGTATGTGTGTGTGAGGTGACTGTGTGTGTCCCCCCTGGTTGTTCATATGAGTGGTTTGTCTTTTCTGTCGACAAATTATCTCTGTTCGCTAGTGGTGAATGAAATTTGACTGCAGACGGCATGGATCTTCTCCCTCCTCTGGCTCTCTTAATGGCCCCGGTAATGGGATGATATTCTTATCATTCTTGTCTCTGCTCATCTGGAACATCAGGCTAATGACACTGATTGGGTCGTGGCCATAGAGACTCAGCAAATGGCCTCGAGAACTTAGTTAGAGCTCAGTCAGAGATAATGTCCTTTAAGATTACTGTGTAAAGTTTTAAATCGTGAGATTTAGGCAGGTGTATCTTTCACAATGGCATTATCTTCAGCAATTTTTTATAAAATATTGAATAAAATATTATATACTGTCATCATGGCAAAGATAAAATCTATCAGTTATTAGAAATTAGTTAGTGAAGGGGTGTTACTGTATACAATTTGAGAAAAATAATTAAGATACTAAATGCCAAGATAAATTAAGATAATTCATTAATTAAGAATATTAACTTGCCAGTTGATGGTATAAATATATGTATCTATGGAACTAGTTGTAGAATCACGATTGATAAAAGAAATAATATTTTATATTTTACATGACACAGTTAGACAAAGTTAAACTATTTTAATTTTTTACCAGATGTATTTTTTTTGTTTCCTCAAACTTGAAATGCAGTAAAACAAGTCTCCTAATTTATCTAATAATAATAATAATAATAATAATAATAATAATAATAGTAATATAAAAAAATAATAGTTACAATAATAATAATAATAATAATAATAATAATAATAATAAAAATAATAATAATAATGTGATAATATTATTTAACAATGATTATTAAACAATGATATAAAAATAATAATAACATAGTAATAATAATAATTAATATTATTATTACTGTGTTATTATTATTTTAAAATCATTGTTATTATTATTATTTAGAAAGATGATGAGTAGGCGGTTCATTCCAATGTGGCGACCCGAGATTAATAAAGTCTAAAGACTAAGACAAAGAAAATAAAATTAAATGAAGATCTGAGTCTTGCAACTGGTGTCTCAGTTATACATAATAATAATAATAATAATTATTATTATTATTATTATTATTATTATTATAATTATAGTTATTATTATTTTTATTATTACTATTTATTATTATTATTATTATTATTATTATCATTTTATTATTATTTTTATTATTTAGAAAGATCTGAGTCTTGCAATTGGTGTCTCAGTTATACTTATAATAAGAATAATACTAAAACAATAATAACAACAACAAATATAATAATGATAATAATTAGAATTATTATTATCATTATTATTATTTCAATATTATTGTGACGATTGTTGTTGTTGTTATTATTATTATTATTATTATTATTATTATTATTATTATTATTATCATTTTAATATTATAGTTATTATTATTTAGAAAGATCTGAGTCTTGCAACTGGTGTCACGGTAACACATAACATCAATTATTATTATTATTATTATTATTATTATTATTATTATTGTGTTGTTGTTGTTGTGCATTTGTTCATTCATTCATTCATTCATTTTTATTTATTTATTTTTTTTTTACAATCTAGTCCTTTATTAATTTTGGGTCTTTCCCAGAGATGGGTGCGGCTGGAAGGGCATCCGCTGCGTAAAAACTTGCTGGATAAGTTGGCGGTTCATTCCGCTGTGGCGACCCCAGATTAATAAAGGGACTAAGCCGACAAGAAAATGAATGAATGAATAATCCACATGTCCACACAGAATCCACGTGAATGTACCACGTGTCTTTGGACTGTGGGGGAAACCGGAGCACCCAGGGGAAACCCACACGAACGCAGGGAGAACATGCAAACTCCACACAGAAACGCCAACTGACCCAGCCGAGGCTACTCCGCCACCGCGTCACCTATTATTACTGTTGTTGTTGTTGTTGTTATTTTAATATTATTGATATTATTATTAATTAGAAAAATCTGAGTCTTGCAACTGGTGTCAGTTATACATAACATTAATGATGATGATGATTATTATTATTATTATTAATCTTATTATTATTATTATTATTTAGAAAGATTTGAGTCTGGCAAAAGATGTCATAAGTACTTATAAATAATAATAATAATAATAATTATCATCATCCTATACATACATACATACATACATACATACATACATACATACATACATACATACATACATACATACATAAAATAAATAGGAAAAATCTAGTTCTGTAAAAAGATTCCACACAAAATTATCATTTATTTTAATCCATTTAAATGATCATTTCGTTTTAGAGACTCCATGTACATCAACTTATTGGTAAAATGAAGTCGTACCACTAGATGTCGCCAGAGTATTATTATTATTATTTTGTGACGAGAAGCGATTCGTGGGTTTAGATTTTCATTTCATCATTTCCAAAGACGACAAAAATGCTATTTAAGACGATTTTCCTCCGTCAGCATTACACTTTAATTAAGTCTCACATGAGGTTACCTAAAACCACATTTTTATACATTATATAAATTATTCTAGCCATATTTTTTATATATTTACCAAGAGTCAACACATAAATGGTGAAAATAATGCAAAAATATGATGGAATATTAGTAAATTATGTAACTTGTTTGATTTCTTCGTGTGGACACGTTAGTAAATGCACCAGTCCCTCACAGGAACTTAAAATAACTGAATGGGAAAAGCGTCAGACTAACAGGAGAGCAAGCTCGTGTAACTTCAACCTAAACTGTATGAAAGTGAGAATACGTGAGTTCAGCTGAATGGATACTCACTGGTTTTTTCATTCACCTATAAAGAGTGGTCAAAAGCAGCAGCTGCACTCTCATTATATGCCTTCTTCAGCTTTTATCCTGTTGGCTACTAGACCTTTAGGATGCACGTACTTCACGAGGACACGAGCAGAGACGCTCTAGGGATCGGGGGTGGAGTTACAACACGATCACCTAGTAACCAGTAACGTAAACTGACCAGAAGGGTCGTAAATACGAAACCCGATCCGCGAAGTCGGGTCTTTTGTGCAGCTGTTTCAAGGCTCGCAGACTGAACTTGTCTCGAAATTGAGAAGAAAACACTTGCGAATTTTAAAGGAATTAAGAAACGGGAATAGGAGTGTGCACGGACAACGCGAGAGGAAGCACCGACGCGCGCGGCTCGTAATAAAAGACAGGAGTTCATAAATAGACAACCAAAGCTTCATCGAACGAGCGGAATAACCCACTTGGTTCACTCGTTTTTTTTATTTGGTAGGTTGTGGAATTTTGCATGCAGTCATTTCATGTACTCATATTCACATTTCATGTGTTTTCTCATTTGATTGAACTTCTATAAACTTCTGGATTGAGTAACTTTGGTTAGGTTTTGTACGCTGGTAAGCAAAACTTTTCCATTTTGCAATTTTGTATCTGCTCAGTCATGTTAATTATTATTATTAGGATTATTATTAGCATTTATCTATGACGTATTGTTCCTGTTGATATACAGCGGTGCTGATAAACAATAAACACACGTCGCTTCGTGTTAATGTGACACGCACGTTTGTCATTCTGCCTTACATTAATACCGCAACTGCGCTAACAAAGTCAGTCGAAGTTACTGTCTGTGCTGTTTAATCTTTCAGAAATTTCAAAACTGTCTTTATGTATGTTTAACCTGCTATTCTGCTAGTCCTGTGTCTTTAGCTATATAGTTCACACAATTGAAGCATGCGCGTCGCTGATTGACGTGGCGAGTTGATCATCGGTCAGAGTTTGAGCGGTCATCTGGTGATAACTTTGAGTTTAAAGCACAAAACATTATAACATTACTTTTTTTGTGGATATAATTAATGTTGTATGTGATCAAAAAATAAACTTAAAGTTTAGGTTGTTTTTGTTTACGTTCTACAGGCGTCTACATTGACTATCATGGCAATGTTTACAAAGTATAAACATTTACTTTGATGTAAAGTTGGTTTTATGTTCCCACATTCGGACTTTCTTCTTAATAAAAATCATGTCAGAAAATATTATTTACAAACTCAAAATAGTGAATTCATATTAGCAGCCAATGACAGTCAAAGTACAGCATTGTTCACTGAATTAAATAGTGTTAATGTTGTTTTGAAGTTACTTAAATCCGATTTCAGACCGAATATTCAAAGTTACCGTGGTAAAAATATATACGTTAAGGAGCATGTTACAAGTTATCACTCAACGAATGTGCAAATAAAGCGAACTTTGCCTTATTTTTTATTATTATTAATACAAATTTAGTGTAAGGTTTTATTATTATTACTACAACAAATTATTTCTACATTTTGTATTGTTATAACTTAAAGTGAAGGGTCAGAAGTAAACTAGAAACCTTTAAAAAGCTAGTCTGAAGGATTTTCATATAATGTTACCGTAACTTTGCAGTAGCAGTGATAGTATTTCAGCAGTTACTGAATGAGGTAAAGCTGATTTTATATTCACACATTCTGACATTCTCCTTAATATTAATGTTATAATTTCTGAAAAATGTTATTAGCAAATGGTAAGCAATGTAGAGACCGTTAATATGAACAAATGTACGAATGTAAAACCAACTTTACCTCAATAACATTTAAAGTACTCAACAAGCAAAAGATACTTGTGTGGGGAAAAATGGAACTTTTTGACTTAGAAAACTCAAACCAAAAAGTTTCGCAGAGTTGTTTGCGAACTGAAAATAAGATGAATGAAAAAGTAATACATCGTTTGAAGGATTTTATTCGTTACAACAAAATGGAAGAGGATGCGTGTACGTTCATTTAAAATCTGTTCAACTTTTTCCTCTGAGGAATACAGAAAGAAGTGTTTTAGTCTATCTATCTATCTATCTATCTATCTATTTATCTATCTATCTATCTATCTATCTATCTATCTATCTATCTATCTATCTATCTATCTATCTATCTATCTATCTATCTATCTATCTAATATGGCAAGGCTAGGAACACAGCGCATAACTCGAATGGGCTGCCATCATGATGATTTTCATGTGTTGTTTTTCCCTTTTTGACATGTAGTCTCTGAACCCCATCCATTTTCACTTCATGAAGGTGAGAAGTATTACTATTTGTCAAAATGTCTTGACAGAAATTGTATGGCAAGCGAGATTGGAAAGACATGAGCCTTTGTAAATGTAATTTCTGGGTGACCTATCCCTTTAAGGGTAGTTCATGTAGGTCACCCACTTGCTTTCACCCAGCACAGCCATCAATCACACGCAAGTGTAAAGTGCAGAGCTGACTTCTGCCCCCCTAACATTTCCGCATGGTTCATGTTCTGTGTGGCTTTCTTACATGCAGAGCAAAGATGATTTCTATCTTTTTTTAATTTGTTTGGTTTGGACTGTTGTACTCTCGCAGCACAAGAGCTCAGCCACGTTGTGTGATCAAACATTATTGACGCTTGCAGTCAATAACTGTGACTGCTGTGGTTTTTCACTTTCAATACCACTGAGAGGTGCAACTTAAAACCGCATGCAACACAGTGAACAACTCAGCACAAATAGTTTAAGCCTTTATAGAGAAGTAAGAAGGCTGTTCGTTTGAGGCCAGTCACACTTACAGATTATGTTTTCAATTCATTTCGAGGTTATCCCGGGCCACTTTTAGATTTTTAATTAGTCAGTGTTGACTTTTTTGAGCAGTTGTGTGAAACTATGGAGATCCTTTGGAGATGTTTTAGTAAATAGTTTGGCTTCCTGGCTTCTTTCGTGTGAGTTCTGCAATTGGAAATTTGTCAGAATTTGTAGAGAGAGAGAGATGAGGAAGGTTTGCATTGTGTGAAAGGGCTCATTGGCATTCTCAAACGTTCTCATTGTTCCAATTCATTTGTGAGGGTAAATGTTGAACATGTTAACTAGACTCTGGATTCGTTTTGCAGTTTTTGGAGCCCAGGTTTGTTCTTTTGAATCTAATGTTGATGAATCATCTTGAAAGCCGTCACCATCTGCCAGACATTTTCCAGGTTTGTTTACCCTTCCTCATCTCCTCTGAAGAAGTTTTGCGCTCAATACGAAGAGAGTCTGAGAAGTTGTAAGCTGCGAGAGCTTGGTGTCTTTTTCTGTATGGAAAACATGTCCGGCGTGAAGGCTGTGTAGTTATCTGAGCTCTCTCTCTCTCTCTCCATGATGAGGTGTGGTTTTTATTGGACTTTTTCCCCCGCTCGTAAAGTGCTGAGGGAGAGGCAGAAAATGAGTACAGCTTTACTCACATAAGCCGCAATAGAACCCCCATGAAAAACCATTAGCATGCATACATTCAGTCTTTCGTCAGTTTTCGTGCTGTTATTTGACTAAACAATCATGAAAACATTTAGATTTGAGTTCCTACACGGTAAATTATTTAATGACAAAAAGTTGAGACAAATAATTTTATGTTGCTTTAACTTGTTTAAATAAGTTAACCAGGTTTTAACTACATCAAAAACATGTGTTGTTGTTCCCACACTAATCGATTTAGTTAATTTTTTTTTTACAAATGTATGTAGATTGAGCATAAAAATATTAAGTTATCCCCCCCAAAAATGTAAGCATTGTGTTGTTTCAACTCATTTAAATAAATAGTTTGAACACAACAGGAAAAGTCATTATTTTGAGTGTACACTTTTTAAGTTATAGCAAGTTTTAAGGCTGTACAATATATGGTGTCAGCAGCATCCAATGGCCACATTGCAAGATATGCAATGTTGAGTTTGTATTAGAATTTATAGCATTTGCATGCTTCTTTAAGGCCTGTGCCAGAATTGTACATGCAGATGTATCCAGAAAAGGCATGGGATGATAACCGTTTCCAAGGTAAATATATCAAAGTTTCAAAACCAAAATTTTCGGCAAAACCGTTCCTAAGGTATGTGTACTATTTTTTTATTTTTTTATTTATTTTTTTTACCTTCATTTGTTTTTTTTTTTTAGGACAACAGTATCTCCAGCACAAAAGATATCCCAAAATGTCATTTTAAATTATAAAAAAAAACAGTTTTTGAAATAAATGAAGACAGCAGAAGTTAATAATTCATTTTAATTATTTAGCCTGACATGTTTACTGCTCCAAAACATTTTAAATGTTTTTCAAATTAAAATATATTGTGTTCAAAGAGGAAAAAACTTGTTGTTTTTTTACCCAGACATGTAAAAAGAATATATTTTAGAGCAGTAATCACAATACTGTGAAACTGTGATATTTTTATCCAAGGTTATTATACCATCAGAATCTTTTACTGGCCATTGCCTAATGCAGAAGGACTTTTAATTTTGCATTAACTTCAGTCAAGTGTTTTCGGTGAACTGTATGCTGGAGCTTGGCTGACAAACGTTGTTATATCAAATCTTGATAATTTATGCAAATAACAATTATAAGCACTGCACTTTTTTACTCTATATAGATCTGCACAGTGCAGAAATGTGCAACAATGGGAATAGAAAAGAGTGTTGATATTAGAGATGTACCGAATGTTTGGCAATTTAATGGACCCTTAAATTTTTGTGGCTTTGATCATTGTTGGTGTGCACTTTTTAAATAAGGAAGTTATATTAAATTGTATATCGTTATCGTTCAATATGGAAAATAATTATTGACATTGCATTTTTGCCATATCACCCACCTAAAATCGGTGCGTTTAAGGTCTGTTTTCTTTAAAAATCTATGGTCTTAACTGCCTGATTGATATACGATATGAAGTGGGCCTTGGATTGTACCATGTGCCTTGTCTTTAAAATATGAGCATTTACTTTGCTGCAGTATTTTTAAGGGTGTTTTTGCGCTAGCCTGCTAATTCTGACAACACGAGTGGTAAACGTTTCATCTCATTTTACGCTTGAACAACTAAATGAATGCTGAAGTCTGTTTAACTGATTATATTTTAATTACATTACAGCATTGTTGCTGTAAAAAAAGCTGTATAAAATTGAAAAAAGTCACATTAACGGTTCACCAGAAGTTTGTAGATATGGGAAGAAACACTAGCTGTGCATATTATTTTTACAACGAAGACTGCGCAGTTTTATTTTACATTTGATTATTCGGTTACTCTATACCTGAATACTGTTAGACTTCTAAGAAAACAACAATACATTGTTTATTTCATTTGTATCATTTTCTATATGTTATGCATTAGGGATGGGCGATATGGGCAAAAAATCATATCCCAGTATTTTTAGGAGGAATAATGATATCCGATATATGTCTGGTATTTTCCATAAATGGTTACTGGAAAGTTAAAGCCTTTAATTAATCTTT